CAACAAGTCTTTTGTAATAACACCAAGGGAGAGTGTAAGTATTTGGAGATTGTCGCACGCGCCATCCAAGTTCGGTGGCCTCTCCCTTGCGCGAACAATTATCGCCAATTCTTTCTTTTTTGTTGTTCAAATTGGTCATTCTCACCAATCCTTCTCTTTTTTGTTCAAATTGGTCCTTGCATTGTCAATTTTCAAATTCATCCTTTAAATTTTAATTGTCTAAAATCAATGAAATTGATCTTGTTTTTACCCCAGCTGAGAATTAATTGAATGTTTTTTGTTTTCTTGACACTGTAAGAATCTCATACGAACCGAATCAAAGCAAACCATGATTTCCAATCTAAAATCAACCAAATACAAAAATGATAAAATTGAAAAGAAAAGAAAAACAGAGAAACCCAAAAAACAGAAAAAAATGGGGATTCATTATTGTAATCCACCGTGTTTATGTGTCTTGTGCGGCAATTTCACCACCCTTTTTAGTTTCTTTTGTTATTGTAATTGTAATGTAACATTAATGTACTTAGCTCCACAAGCTTCTACTCTTTTGAATACCATGTGGAATTTCATGTTCTTACAAACAGGCAAGAAGCCGCTGGTGCTCTGTGGAATTTATCATTTGATGACAAAAATAGAGAAGCAATAGCGGCAGCTGGTGGCATCACAGCCTTGGTACGGCATTGCAACTGCACAGCAAACCTTTGTTAAAAAGACTTGTTTTCTTCTTGCATTCCAGCTGATGCATAAAAAGCAAAAATATCCAAAACTTTTGCTGTTATTTATATATATTGTCGTCATTGCAATCATCATCATCATCATTATTATCTATTTGTTATCAGCTTCAAATGTTCTAATTTGTCCAGGTAGTTTGAGACGTTTATGACGGGAGAGGATAGGATGTAGGTAGAGAAATAAATAACTACTAAAACCTCTTAAGCATTAATATTGAGATGTCCTTGATGTAGAATTTTGTTATCATGAAATTCCGATGGTATTGCATACTTCTTTCATGTAAAGAAATAAATATAGCAATGCCAGTTTGATTATTATTTGAATTAATGTTGTTGCATGCATTTGCAAGTAATTGATGTTTGACTTGATTATGGTGTTTTAGGTTTCTCTAGCACAATCATGTTCAAATTCCTCCCGAAGTCTTCAAGAAAGGGCTGCGGGTGCTCTTTGGGGATTGTCAGTATCAGAAGCCAACAGGTAGTGGAAGTTTGAATCGATGTTGCCCTGGATTCCTCCTAATGTATTGATATTATTATAGTTGACAATTGCTGCCTTGAGTTGGTTGCTTGGTGTATGGAGATCCTCCGTTGTGATACTTTATTGCAATGGATGTGATGGTGCCTTCACATTTGCTATGCACGGACCCTGTTATTTTCTCTGTCATGTTAACTATTGTAACTCTGCCTCTTAAGATGCTATTTCAAGACACCAAAAAGAAATGTTTAAACTCCATTAATGAAAAGACTGTCTTTTTACTCTTTGATATGAAATTATTCAGTTGATGGTGCCTCGGTTTCAGTCTCTACTAATGAACTTGGTAAGCGAAATTGCATCTCTATGTTCTGTTTTACTTTTACTAATGTGTTACCTCGGTTTCCTGTTAATCCAGTATTGCTATTGGGCAAGAAGGCGGCGTAGCTTCACTAATTGTACTGGCTTGCTCAGATATTGCAGTAAGTTTTGCTCTTTGGCTAACTCAGATGAACTGAAACCATCACCATCCATCTAAGACCAATCAATCTTTCTTTAACTGAACTGGTTTGGTATAGCATTCATGGTAAAATTTGAACATGACTTGAATGACCTATATTTATTGGATTTTCAGGATGTCCATGAGACTGCTGCAGGTGCTCTTTGGAATCTGGCTTTTTATCCCACCAATGCTCTTCGCATAGTAGAGGGTGGAGGAGTCCCAGCCCTCATTCATCTGTGTTCTTCATCGGTATCAAAAATGGCACGTCTAATGGCTGCATTGGCACTGGCATACGTGTTTGATCAGAGGTAGAGATTCAAAATACTAGTTAATCTATCATGACCACACACTAACCGAAACACGTATTTATTTGTGAGTTAACCCTTACACATCATGGATATACTGGGGTGGCTTCCATGTGGCATGTGCAAGTTAGATATTCCTATAACATGTCTAGGATTGCAGAGGCTTCAGGTCTCAATTTGCAAGAGTTTTTGAGTTTACTGTGTTGCATACAGAACGGAAGAATTTGCACCAGGAGGGCCTTCATCAGAGGGAACCTCAAAGACCATGAACTTGGACGAGATTAAAAAGGTGGCCCTGAAGAAAATTGAAGCATTTGTGCTTTCTTTCTCTGTTCCACAAAATTTTGCTGCTGCAATGGTGTCATCCTCCCCCAAAGCCCTTGGACAAGTAGCAGAAGCAGTACGTATACCAGAAGCAGGGCATCTGAGATGCAGGTTTTTTCTTTTTTCTTCCCTTTTCCAATACCAATCTTGAAGGTTCACATTTAAAAAACTATTATAAAATAGTTTAATTTAATAGAAACAATAAGCACAATTCTGTTGTTGCTTTTGATTGTCTGTGGGTGAAAAATGTCTTCATGAAGACTTGGTATACCTAGGATTTAGTAATTGTAATAATCATATGCAAACGACCTTGTGAATTGGGAGTGTGGAAGTCCAATTTTGCCTCGTGCTTGTTCTTGGATGCTTTAGTTGAATCCAATACATTTTACACTTTATACGAAATACATTTGTTACATTGCCGTGCCTTTGTGGCTGTATTTGTTACTATTTTGAGGAGCTTAGGTTGTTTGGCCCTGGGTGAAAAGAGTGAATTTTCTGATTGCGGAATCTTGTTAAAACATTGGAGCATCATCAATAGATTGCATAATAAGGCATGCCAGTAAGTTTATAATATATACATAAATTAGACTCCTCACTGCTGATCGTGTTCTGAATTCTGTGTTTCTATTTTTCAGTGCAGCTGAGATTGGAAGATTTGTTGCTATGTTGCGGAATCCTTCCTCTATACTCAAGGCTTGTTCTGCCTTTGCTCTTCTCCAGGTGAACCTCTTTTCCTCTCCACTGTGCCTGCATGTGGAAGTTGAATTTGAAACGTTTCTGCAATTATATGAGAATGGCAGACACTATCCGAATAACACTTCTGTTCTGCATTTCAGTTTACAATCCCAGGAGGACGACATACATTGCATCACACAAGCCTGTTGCAAAATGCAGGAGCACCACGAGCCTTACGCGCCGCTGCAGCAGCAACTACGGCCCCAGTTGAGGCCAAAGTTTTTGCAAAAATCATACTTCGCAATCTTGAACACTACCATTTGGAAGCTTTAAATTAGATCTTGGAAATGGTTTCTTTCTGAATCTCTGCTACTCAATCCATCAGCTTCCAAATTCCTGCTTATGTTTCGTAAAGCATCATGATGGTAATTTCCAATGCAGCATATATTCTCGTGAGTTGTGGCATGGCCAATGCAAAAGCACATTGGTTGAATGTGAGATGCCCTTGGATGCTTCCGGGGATGCAGGAGCAAAGGATGACTTGGTCACGTTTGCTTGACATAACTGGTTGGTAGCAACCATGCATGCAGGGGGGGCGTTGAGCATACATTCTTTATTGCAGTTTTGAATTTGACCATGTCGAGCCTGATTTTACATGAATCATGTGACGAAAACTAGAAGTAAACATTTTCGATTTGAAACTCGTTGTGTCAGGGTTTTAGGAATCAATGGAACTCGTAAGTCGTGATCGCCACTGGGTTCTTGTTGAGTGACAAGACCAAAAGTTGCCGAATATTAGTGGTCTTTGCTCTTGTCAGTTTTGTGTCTTTGCCGCATGCAACCTAATCATACGCCACCTTGACTTTCTCGAAACGAGTTGCTTTCTTCTTTTTTTTTTTTAATGCCATGCGTGTTTCTGCAAATGAATCTTGAGTTGGGGCACCCTGTATCTTGTAGGCAACCACTTATAGTTTCTTAAGCAACAATGAGTGCATGTATAATTCTATATATAAATATAAAAACATTTATTTAATAAATCAGATTAAAATTGTTAAAACCTAAAATATGAAACTTTGTATTAAACTACTAAAGTTGGCATTTTGGTTTGGTGTTTAGAATCAAACTAATTTGTATGCCTGCTTTATGTTGTGGGGAGATTTTTTTTTTTAAAACATTAAAAAATTTCAGATCTCATGAAATTTATTATTGTTAAATGTGAAAAATAGTCATTTTGAATTTTTTTTATAAAGATATTTTTTTTATTGTATTGCTTGTTTATTTTAATCAATGTAATATTTTTAACTGGAAACATTGTTAAAAAAAAATTATGATTATTAAAACAAGTTAAAAAAATCAAAATAATGTCTTAATTTTGTGTGATTGAAAGCTAAAAAAAATCATAAATATGATAAAATCAAGTTCCAAATCTATTTAAACATTTCAATAATCAATAAATAACTTATTATTTTGTGTGATTGAATCGAGTTTTTATAAATAATTTATTATTAATATTATTATTTTTAAATCAAATACATAATAATTAAAAAATATTAAAATTAAAATGTTATATAAGAATCATGTTAAAACTACAAAAAAAAATACAAAACGCCACAAAGATCCACCCCTAATTTCTCTTGAACTCACAATCTTTTATATATATATATATATATATATGTAAGGTACTTTACTGTTTATATAAACAACAAAAAACTATAAGAAACTTTAATTCTTTTAGTGTTTTAGGTTAATATCTCAAATTGGCCTTTCGAGATATTAAAAATAAAAAAGCTTATCAAAACTCATGAAATTCAAATTCAATATTAATTATTTTCAGAATCGATTTTATGCACTTCTTTTGTATTAAGATTAATTAGCTAACACATGAAGTTTATTTTTCTCTCCCCTCTTAATTTGAAAATAATTAAATTATAACAAGGTAAACAAACTCAATTATCAACTAAGCAAACTTCTCAATTGTTACTTCAACAGCTATGTTTGTCCACTTAATAGCATATCAGCATATCGTGACGCATACCATTTGTCATGTGATTTTATCTTGAATTAAGTTTGGACAACTTAAATAAGTTTTTTTTTCTAAAAAAATAAACATGATTTTTAATCCCATCATTAAATTAATTGAACTAAAATTTGATCATCATGTTCTACGAGCCTAATTTCCAGTAAGGTTGGCACACTTCTTATTTAGAATAAACATCCTAGTGATTTTACATTTGCTATATAACTTCCTATAAATATTAGGATTATGGTTTAGATATAGAATTAGAGTATACATACATACATACATACATATAATTTATTTTTTAGAGCAGATTAAATTATTTGAAGAATTATTAATAATTGAAGCTGTGATTTTAAAGTTTGTAGGGCCCTGATTTCTTGCTCTCTTTTTTCATTATTCAGTGCATCATATCCTTAACTCTCTCCCCACTAATGCAGTTTTGTCTGTGGTGAATCAATGCATTGCTTAAGGGTTGTGTCGTTGAGCAATCTGGGCTTGCTTTATCAAAACTGAAAAACCAGAAACTGCAGAAAGGAAGATAGGCATGATTGATGCGTACAAGTTTCATTGTAGGACCTTTTCTAATAGAAAGGAGTGGATAAACCCTAAGAAGACAATAAATTAGGTTAAAAATAATTGTGAAATGGAGTGGTCGGGGGCCACAGTGCTTTTTCAATCCCTCTCTGGGTGTCTTTTTCGTAGTTGCTGGGACTTTGGCTAGCATTGAAGATCAGCAATCATCATATGATCCACGTCAGGAGAGGGGTGGACAACATAGATATCAAAGAAACTTGCTAATTATTGGCTTGTGCCAGCTTCTTTTATTCTTTCTGTTCCTCTGTGAGGAAAAGGCAAATTATCAGGTTAATTATGTCTGGGTTCTTCCCTTATCTTGCCTGCATCTAGGATTTTATCGTAACAAGAAACTTGAAATTCAGGGAGGCTAGAAACTATGCAAGAGTTTTGTTCATCATAAATCCAACTGCATTCTGTAATCATTCCATGGAAAATCCTGTGTAATTTATGTGAATGTTAGATTTGTCCTATGTTAGTGAAATTGTAAGTGTAAGAGATTACATATAGTTTAGAGGTAATTATTCCCTGCACAAAGTTAAAATGCACAGGTTTGTAGTGTTTTGTCTTCTTCTTTTTAACCTTTCAATGAGTTCTATGATCCACAAAGAAGAAGAAGAAGAAGATCATGAATCTCTTCTAAGCTTTAGCAAATAACCATAAAAACTCGCTTCTAAGCATTCTCTAACCTTTATCTGTTGCTTGAAAACTAATTTTGGAACTTTTTGTTCCAGTAGAAGTCTATGAAACTTTGAAAGTCAAGTTAGTCGTCACTTGTAATTTAATCATGCACTCAGTAAAAGCATTTTGTTTTTACTAGTTAAATCTTATTAGTTATTTTATAAAATTTATTTAAAAAAAATAAAAGGATACAAAAGAAATTTTAAATAAATATATATTTATTATTTTTAATGGTTCATGAACTTTATATTATCTCTTCTCTTTATGTTTATTTATTTCTTCAAAGCAAGATCTAGTTAAATAACTAATATAATATCACCAAATAAATGCTTGATATTAAATAGATAGGCTTTATATAAAGAAATCAAATTGAAATATATGATAACTCATATTAAATGAAATTAATTTTAAAATATTTTTAAAATGAGAAATTTACATAATTATTGTCTTCAAGTTTTTATTTTTTAAAACCGTTTTATAATGATTTTATTATTAAGATATCTTTTTCAATATGTATAATTAAATTGTTACTTATCTACTTATCTTCCATTCTGTTCCACAATTTACTTTTGATAATATGTATAGCAAAAAAAAAAAACTCTCTTCATTGTATTAGTTGCAACTGATAAAAATAATGACAATTTGATAAGTACATATGCCAATTTAAAAAACTCTCTCCAAACTCTTTTTTTTTCTTTTCATTTTCTCCACAAGACTAACAATACCTTTAATATTAAAAAACTCATCATCATTGTGGAGACTAATAATATATATATTAAGTTGGTCTCAAAGTACCATAAGGTCCATTATTGGGATAAAAATGAGCAAAGTGAATAAGATTTTCTTTATTGAAAGTAGAGAAAGAGTCACTTGAGTTTAAATATGTTATATAAAGAAGTAACTTCGTACTCGTTGTTACACGTATGAGGTATTGCGGCGATCATAATCCTGAATCAGGAATGGTGTGGGTAAAAAGAACAATGAATTCTTGTTTTTTATCAATAGAAAAAGAGAATGGGAGTTGCCATCTAATAGTTTGGTCACTATGAACCCTAATTGATTTCAGAGTCTCAGATAGAGTACTGATTATATAAAGAAAATGTATTAACACTCATAATATGCCTTACTTGAGGTAATTTGCATTATTTATGTGTTTGATATAAACTGAGGTTTTATTTTATTTTCTAATCATTGGTCTATCTAAGATTCAAGAAAAGTTTTTTTCAATAAGAAGATCTTTATCTTATCGAGTTAAAAACCTAATCATTCTAATATTAATATAAAAATAAACAAAACTATTTTTTTATTTAATATTAGAAATATATCTTACATATAATTTCATAATTCTAGATACTAACAGAAAAAAAAATAATTTTTTGATATTTTTTTGAAATATAGATCAAATTCTCATAATTTTAGTAAACTAGTTATTAAATTTTAAAATACATACAAATACATATTTTTTAAATTTTTATATAAAAATATGATATGATTTTTTTATATTTTTAAGAGACTATGTTTACACACCTCACTAATTTTTAAAACTATCACTCGATTCATAAGGCTGTGATTAGCCCATAAAAAGAAAACATGAAAAAATAATAAAACTACATCTTTAATATAAAAAATATTAAGTGATGAAATTAAAAAATAATAAAAGTAAAAAATAAAAAATAAAAAATAAAAAATCAAAATTAAAAGAATAAAGATAGAAATTAAAACCAAAAATAAATTAAATAAAATATTGATGAATAAAATAACCGAAAAAGAATCAAGAATAAGATAAAAAAATTAAAATAATGAGAATCAAATTAAGAAAAATAAAATGAATTAATTTCAAGGGATATAATTAAAAAAAAATAAAAAAATACTTAGAAATTAAGAGAATAACAACTAAACTGTAAGTTAAAATAGACTCAAATGATTAAAATAAAAAATAAAAAAAAATTAAGGAGAAAATAAAAAAATTAAAATAATGAAGATTAAATTCTAAAAAAACTGAATCGTGATGGATGCAATTAAAAAAAAAATTTAAAATAAAATAAAATAATTAGTAATAAAAAAAATAAAAATCAAATTAAAAACTAAAATAAACTCAAAAGATAAAATTAAAGTTCAGAAAAACAAAAAAAAATGAAAAGAAAAAAAAAATCCATCGTAAATCAACCATAGCTCCGTCATCGAAACATGCCGGGTCACCTTGAAGAGTACAACCATAAATTTCTAATGCCATCACAGAATGTAGGGTAAGGCCACCGTAATGCACCAATCAAATAGTATGAATGGAGATGAAGCACCCTCGTGTGTATCATTATACCTGACAACTTTTAATTTTAATAATATTAGATTTATGTTTAAAGACAAAACAACCCCTAGCTCACTGTAAATACAACAAAAAAACCTAAATAAAAATATTAAAATACCTTGAATCAAAGCTAAAAAAAAACTGATGCAAAGGCCATTTAAGTATTTTTATTGTGCGTTGAAAAAATAAAAAGTCAAGAAAACCCTTGAAATGATTATATTAGATTTTTGCTTTTAAAAATAATCCATTCATTATAGTATAACTAAAAAATAATGGACCAAAATACTTTATATT